GTTCCGTTTCTCAAACCAATAGTATCAAATCTGATTGTTCTGCGGATTATATAATGTTTTATTAGATGTTTTATTCACCATAATCTTCACTCAATTAAATTTTTTTCCCGGTAAAATAAAACAGAATTCATTCCTTAGCAATAATTTTCTTACACTCAAGAACGGAAAGTTCTTTAGGGGTATCAACTAAGTGTTGATATATATAGTAAACAAGTATATTAAAGCTAATAAAAATGTTATCTTTATTATCTAATATTAACAATTTTTTCCTTTTTTTTATAGAACATATTTATCATAAAATTCTTAAGTATTCAAATTCTTTTCTGTATATCAGTCTCTGATTCTCTAAAACACTTTAATACTATATCTTACTGAATTATATATATTCATTCTTTGGGTAAATTTAATTTGTTCTTAATATATTACTAGAACCGAACTACTTCAGCTTTCTAATCAATATCTCTAATAATTATCATATTGTTAAAGATCCAGGGAACTGTGTGTAACATTCAATGTCAACCAGTTCCACATAACCTAACTTATGCCCAACTCTTAGTTCTCTGAAAATGCATAGTCATTCATAGAAGATTTTAAAACAAACTTGTATTAATGACTTATTTAAGACTAACATGTTTAGTTTGTCTAATCACGCATTTCTATTAACCCATCATCAAAGATTTATGTCTCATTAACAAAATGATTTATTGAGGTTTCCGCATACCTCGAAAATTTATCAATGAAAATGCCAAATTCATCAAATCATTTAGAATTTACTGAAAAAATCTACAAATTGCTTAAAATAAATTTAGTAACGTTAAAGAATTGCTTAGACTGCGAAATTTATTTTCCAGTTTGTAAAATTATAATAGTTTAGAAACACGTTATAAAAATATATAGATTTTTTTAAAATTAATTAAATCTTAAGAACTCTTAAAAATTAAATAGTTTTATAAAAGACAGTCAGAATTGTTAGTCAAAATGTGTATTTACAGATATAAATTTCTAATACAACAACCTTAACCACTTAGCGAATTGATTAATGATATTGAGAAGGAATCTATTTACATTATGTTATGATATAGACAACTTCAGTAATATTTTGAGGAATATGCAGGGTTCTTGTTGAATTAATATTTACTTTCCGAGTATTATCTAAATAGAAGAGATATAAAAAAATAAATTTCCCTTAACATAACTTAAAAGTGATTATATATTGGATAGTGATAAATCAGCGATTATTTTTTCTTTAGAATTACAGCATATAGTTAAAACATAAAATTATGAAGTGAAAGAAGTTGCTGATCATAAGGATCCATAAATAACTTAAAGGCTTCACATAAAATTCTTTATATGAATCAATAAATAGTCTACTTTGGCTCTCTAAGTTCTTTGATAAAATATTTCTCACCTTTTTGATATGTCCTGTTTACGTATATTATTCCTAAAAGTGATGGACTCTTTCGCTAACATTACAGTTATTTTACTTTCTCTTGAAATGTTTCAAAACTTCATTAAATAATTTGTAAAAATTATGCATGCAATTAAACAGTTTGTTATTTTTATAAAAATCATACTATATGGATAAAGGAGTCCGAAAGAACTTCAGGTATGATTTATTTCGGTTTAATCCTTATGAAAATTTTGGTGGATTTATACGTACAAATATTTAATATCTACGGTATCTTTTTTTAAATCCATTTGGTTCCATGAATAAAGTAGATTATTATATTAAAATTTTTATGTGGTCAGACCTGAGAACTAGAACTGAAAGTATTTATTATTTGCGTTTTTTGCTGTTAGAAAATATGGCATAGGTAGCTACCGCCCAGTGACCGACCTAACAAAATTGTCTCGAGTGTCATCATTTCGATACTAGCTTTACTCGTGAGAATTGTCACTCTTACACTCTTTTTCTTCACATAAACTTATAGCAAAAACTCTCTTGAGAGTACACTCATCAGTCAATCAGTCAGTCAGTCAATTTTGTTCGTTCAACAGGTTTCATTAGCCAAGAGAAAATAACTGTTCCGAAAAATGGACAAAAAAATTGCATTTTGGCTTAATTGTCCACCTAATATGTTAGTAGTGTCCATTCCACAGAAGTGTTTGTTAGAAGAGTTTTCTTAGTATATAATATTATTTTATTCATTTTTTATTTATCTAATTATTTATGAACGGGCTAATGGGTCATTTAAATAAAAAAA